CGCAGCGACACCGGGCGGGCTTGGCCGGGCCAGGTCAGGACCAAGGCAGATGGGAAGGCGCGAGGCAGCGCTGAACAGGGAGACCCTTGTCAGGCTGGGGGCTCCCGTGCGGCAGGGGCAGTAGAGCCGGATCCGATTCAAGGGTAGGCGTAGTGGAGACCCCCGCGCCCGGACCCGCGGGCAGGGCTGGCGCAGGCCGGGGGTCTCCGCAGCAAGGGGGCTCCTCTCGGCCCTCTGCCGAGAAAGGAGCAGTGTTCTGGGTCCCCAGCGCAATCTCTGCTCCCAGGGACCCCAGAGCAGCAGGGCGAACCAACCTGTGCGTCGGACCCCGGGCAAGGGTCAAGCGCGGCAGCCGGAGCCGGTCCTCTGGCAGCGCTCTCGCGCGCGGCCGGGCGCTGTGGACGGCGGCTGCGGAGGGCCAAAAGCGGAGCGGACCTGGCAGGGCACCGCCGAAAACACGCTCCGGGGGCACCGAGCCCGAGACCCAGACAGACCCACGGAGAACGTTTACAAACAGGATGATAGGTTTTAACCGGACCTCCCTCTCCTACCCTGTGATTGCGCAGTGGGTCAGATCTGGACCAGTAAGTTCTGGTCTATGCAGTTTGAGCCAGGCTCTAGGGCCAGTCTCGGAAAACGGAAAATACTAACTCATTATCTATGTATTGAAGGGGGACAAGACCCGACCCTAGCCCCAGGAGCCCTCAGTGGAATCCATTTAGTTGAAAACGTAAAAAGCAATCGAGGCTGTAAATGGCAGTGAGTGTTGCACTGCAGCCCAGCAGAAACTGGCCCAAAAATTTGGTTGAATTAAGGGCTGTTAAGTGTGTGGAGGGTAAGACTACAGGGTCAGGGGCTTCCTGAAATATTTCAGGAACATAGGAGGGGTGTTATCCTCTGGAGCTGCAAGAACACAGGTGATACTCCAGCAAGGAGGAAGAAGCCAAACCGGCTATTAGGCACCCTGGAATTTTCCATACCGTGAATGCAGGCGGGGATTGGATGCGGATTGTGGTGTTCCAATTCAATTCTGCAGATCAGAGTTACTGAAAATTACAGGGAGGGATGCAATAACATAAAGATTATGTTTTGAGGCTAGCAATATGGAACCCCTTAGAGAGAGCAGAGCTGGAGGCAGGGACTCAAATTAGGAGATGAATAGAACAATCCACGTACTAGGTGATGAAAGCCTGGATTAACATAGTAGTTAGGTGATGAAAGCCTGGATTAACATAGTAGTGATGATTGTAAAGGAGAGCTGGACAGGCTCTCCTGACTGATAAAGTCTTTAGAGCCTGGGAGACTACAAAAACTATGGTGGTCTTTTAATAGAGCCAGAGAACTTCAGGTGAGGAGGGGGCCTGAAAAGATCTTTTTAAATTTTTTTAAAAATTTTATTTATTTGAGACAGATTATCACTCTATCGCCCTGGCTGGTGTGCAGTGGCGCGATCGCGGCTCACGCCAACCTCCGCCTCCCAGGTTCAAGTGATTCTCCTACCTCAGACTCCCAAGTAGCTGGGACTACAGGCGCACACCACAACGCCCGGCTAATTTTTTGTATTTTTAGTAGAGACGGGGTTTCACCGTGTTAGCCAGGATGGTCTCCATCTCCTGACCTTGCAATCCACCCACCTCGGCCTCCCAAAGTGCTGGGATTACAGGCATGAACCACCACACCCAGCCAATCATGTATTTTTTATGTTGAAGAAACTGTGCCACTTCCAAATAAAAATGTTCTGTAGATCACACCTGTAATCCCAGCACTTTGGGAGGCCAAGGTGGGCATATCACCTAAGGTCAGGAGTTTGAGACCAGTCTGGTCAACATGGTGAAACTCTGTTGCTACCAAAAATATAAAAATTAGCCAGGCATGGTAGTGCTCGCCTGTAGTCCCAGCTACTTGGGAGGCTGAGATGTGAGAATAGCTTGAATCCTGGAGGCAGAGGTTGCAGTGAGCTGAGATCGTGCCACTGTACCTCAGCCTGGGTGACAGAGACTCCATCTCCAAAAAAAAAAGTTCTGTAAGCAGCTTTAGATCTTAGAAACTTCTGCTTAATGCATGAATTCTCTGCATTCCTGCCCGATACACCTCCAAAGATTGGGGCCAGTTATCACGATGGGACCCAACTCGTGACACAACTCCAGTTCCCTTTCATGTGGATTTGGCAATTTTGAAGTCAGACACAAGGTAATTCAGTACATTATCTGTGCCTAGCCCATGCTTCCTACCAAGTACTCAAGTATTTCCTGAACTTCTTAGCTGACACAACAGGGAATGAAGCCCAAAGAAAAGTAAACAGGGTTGAAAACTAAACCTAAGAGGAGGAGGCAGAAGAGTTACTGATGGAATACTCCTAAAGAAATTTGAAACAGAAGCTTAAGGTCAGTTTTGGGTAGGACATGATTAAACAAAATTAAAAGTGCACTTTCTCAGCTCACACCTCGTAAGAATTCTTGCTGGGAGTGGTGGCTCATGCCTGTAATCCTAACACTTTGGGAGGCTGAGGTGGGCAGATCACCTGAGGTCAGGAGTTCAAGACCAGCCTGGTCAATATGGTCAAACTACATCGCTACCAAAAAATACAAAAAAAATTAGCTGGGCATGGTGGTGTGCACCTGTAATCCCAGCTATTTGGGAGGCTGAGGCACGAGAATCACTTGAACCTGGGAGGCAGAGCTTGCAGTGAGCTAAGATCATGCCACTGCACTCCAGCCTGGGTGACAGAGTAAGACCAGGTCTCAAAAAAAAAAAGAAAAAAGAAAAAAAAAGAAAAAAATTCTTTTTGGCCTGGCATAGTGGTCTACACCCATAATCCCAACACTTTGGGAGGCCAAGGCAGGTGGACTGCTTGAGCCCAGAAGTTTAAGACCAGCCTGGGCAACATGGTGAAACCCTGTCTCTACAAAAAAATACAAAAATTAGCCAGGTGTGGTGGTGCATGCCTGTGGTCCCAGCTGCTTGGGAGGCTACAATGAGAGGACCACTTGGGCCTGGGAGCTAGAGGTGCAGTGAGCTGTGATCACACCACTACACTGCAGCCTGGGCAATAGAGTGAGACCCTGTCTCAATAGTAATAATGATAAAAAGAATTATTTTTGCTTTGTATTATAACTGCTGGTCTCCTATGTAATATTTGAAGGCGATTACTTTGTCTTGCTCAGTTTTATATCTCCAGGGCTTATCAGTGTTTGACACATATTAGACACACAGGTGTTTGTTAAGGAAATGATTATCAAATGCACTAAAAAGCCAGTGAGGACCTTCAAAGAATAACATTCCACAAGTATCCACTCCCTGACCTCACAAAAGGTCTCTCACTGCCTGCACAGCTAGGACTCCACATCTAATTTGAATGAACTTGCTTCTTTTGGTCACATTAAATGTATGCTTTTTTTATGGGACAGGTTTTCTGGCATATACTGTAACTTAAGAAAATGTCCCCAAAGGAATACGGGTTGGTTCACTTAAAAATGGATGCATGAGGGCTGGGTACAGTGGCTCCTGCCTGTATTCCCAGTGCTTTAGGAAGGTGAGGCAGGAGGACTGCTTGAGGCCAGGAGTTTGAGCCAGCCTGGGCAACATAGCAAGATCCCATCTTAACAAAAAATAAGAAACTTAGGAGTCATACATACCAGTAATCCTACCTACTAGAGAGGCTGAGCAAGGAGGATCCCTTAAGCCCAGGGGTTTGAGGTTACAGGGAGCTATGATTGTGCTACTGCACTTCAACCTGGGGAACAGAGGAAGATCCTATCTCTAAATAAAACAAAAAACAGATGAACGAGATAGACTCTGAAAAACATAGTTTTTCTCTAAGGCTGTCATAGGAGTATGGATGAGTCATTAAAAGTAATCAAAGCTGTGAACATGTTCAGTAGTAACTCACTGCCTGTCCTCTAATTCATAAACACAGGTAATGTCGACTTATTAAGAAGCTACGATTCAGAAGCTGCTTTGGAATAAGGAATATTCTTCTTAAAACAGAAATAAGATCAGAGGCAGTCACAGCCTTAGGCAGACAGGACAAAAACACTTATCAGTCCTGTAATACACTTGAAACACGTTAGAGCACAATTTTTTCCAACTAACCACTATTATTAAGGAGATTTTTTTTGAGACAGTCTGGCTGGCTCTGCCGCCCAGGCTGGAGTGCAGTGGCGCCATCTCACCACAACCTCCACCTCCTGGGTTCAAGCGATTCTCCTGCCTCAGCCTCCGGAGTAGCTGGGATTACAAGCATGCACCACCAAGCTTAGCTAGTGTTTTGTATTCTTAGTAGAGATGGGGTTTTGCTATGTTAGTCAGGCTGGTCCTCAACTCCTGGCCTCAAGTGTTTCACCCGCCTCGGCCTCCCAAAGTGCTGGGATTACAGGCTGAGCACCCACGCCATGCCAAGGTTTTTTTCGAGACAGGGTCTTGCTCTGTTGCCCAGGCTGGAGCAGTGTTGCAAATATGGCTCACTGCACCCTCCTGGGCTCAAATGATCCTCCCTCCTCATCCTCCTGCACAACTGGGACCACAGGCACACACTGCTGTGCCCAGCGAATTTTTTGAAAATTTTTTTTGCAGAGATGGGGTCTCGTCATGTTGCCCAGGCTAATCTCAAAGTCCTGAGCTTCAAGCAATCCTTCCGCCTCAGCCTCCCAAAGTGTTGGGATAATAGGCATGAGCTACCAGACCTACACTAGAAAGGTTTTTTATGGGAAATAAATCTTGTTTCAACTTGGGAAGTTAGGAACATTTCTTCCTTGACCCTATAAATGGGAAAAGGAGCGAACCTTAACACCTCCACATGGCTAAAACCCTTAAGTACCTTCATAACCCAAGTGAAATTAACAAATTAATATTTTGTGCCTAAGCCCCCATCCACCCCACCCTCCTATCCTTTAAATTTCAGAATAAGAAAACAGGGAAGAGAGCAGACATCAAGCGGAAAAAAAGGGAAAAGGATGTGGTTCCTCAGGGCAGTGACTATTCCTGGGAAAATGAGGCACAAATACCACAGCACTGAGTTTTATTAAGGATTTCATTAAGATTAAATTTCTAGGAATAAGGGAGTCCTAGTTAAGAGGACACAAAAGCCCACGAAGCCTCCTCAGATCTCATAGTGAACCACCGGCTCAGGTTCTTTGGAGGGATCGCCGCCTCGTTCCAGGTACAGATTATTGTAAGGATACTGCTTTGGTCCCTAAGGAAAAAACACAAGTCAGCAAGAACATACATTCAGTCAATACCTGGCTATACCCCACTGAGTTAACAATCATGCATGGTAAATGGGTAGACAGTAGCCTCTAGTCAGACCCAGCTGGGCTAGGACAGCAGGAACAGCAATCCTCTTCCTCACTCAGGCCAAGGCAGAGAGAAAGCCTAAATTGTAAGAGAAGTGGTGCCTACACTGTGAGGGGGAAGGAGAAAGGGGGAGGGAAGGGAATAGAGAAAGGAGGGGAAGGGAGGAAGAGAGGGAGGGAGGTAAAGAAATAGAAAAGAGAGAGTGTCAGAGTCAGAGGCAATGCTTTCTAAATGAGACGATGCATCCATCCATCCCACTCTCTCTCGGGGTCGAGACAGACTCAATCTCCTTTAAGTCACTCAGCCTCTAATGGTTCCACCACTAAAGTGGCCCAGCAAATGAGGCATGCAGGAGCAGTGGTGGGGGAAAGCACAGAGGAGACAAGGCTGGAACGTGCTTTAGGGGCTGCTGGCTTTACCAACAAACAGCTGTCAGAGAACACAGCTCAAGGGGAGGAGAAAAGGGTGATATGCTTACAGAACTGAAAAATGGAAGAGCCACACTGTGTTTCTTGCTCTCCTGAAGTCAAGTTAGTGCTCACTCTAGCCCTACGTGCATTCTCCAGCATGGAGCCCCTGGGGCTTGGTAGGAAGGCTCGTGTCAGTGCACACAGACATACCAGCTACCTTCAGGACACTGATTGTCTCTGCAGAGGTAGCACTGGGCAGCCAACTGCAAACACAGCAGCCTCCCTGCTTTCAGTTTCTCTCCTTCTAATACATCCTGGAGACTACTCCCAGATTAATCATCCTAAGAACTCAGCATTCATTATGTCACTCTTCTGTTCGAAAACCCAGAATGGTTCCCTGCCACCTAGAGGCAGACCAAGTCATCACTGTATCCCCAACCGCTAGCACAGTCTGCACCTGGTACATAGTAGAGGCTCCATAAATATTTGTCAAATTAATGCTTTATTACACCATCAAGTCCAAATCCCTTAGCAATGACATAAAAGCTGCCCAACCTAACTGATCAACTTATCTCACAATACTTTTTAACACAGTGATTTCCAAATCTAGGTGCACATCAGAATTACCTGGGAGCTTATTAAAAATATGGCTTTTAGAACCCTACTACGATGCTACTGAATTAGGACCACCAAGAAGCGGGGCCTGGGAATCTGGATTTTTAGCAAGTCTCCAGGAAACCAATGCAGCTGGTTATTTAGGAACCATTTTATACATCTATTCTAGCTAACTCATTCACCCTCCTTTTCCTTCCTTGTTTTCTTTTTCTTTTTTCTTTTTTCTTTTTTTTTAGACAGTCTTTCTCTCTTGCCCAGGCTGGAGGGCAGTAGTGTGATTTCAGCTTACTGCAACCTCCGCCTCCCAAGTTCAAAGGATCCCTGTGCCCCAGCCTCCCAAGTAGCTGGGATTACAGGCGTGCACCACCATGCCTGGCTAATTTTTTTTGTATACTTTGTAGAGACGGGGTTTCACCATGTTGCCCAGGATGGTCTTGAACTCCTGAGCTCAAGCAATCTGCCCGCTTCAGCCTCCCAATGTGCCGAGATTACATGCACAGGTCACCATGCCTGGCCTCCTTCATTGTTTTCTCTTGCCCTAAATTTTTTCTCCAACTTTCCACCACCCAAAGCCTTTGTGTGTGTGTGTGTGTGTGTGTGTGTGTGTGTGTGTGTTAGCATCTAGGTAGCCCTTCTCCTTGACACTAACTCATATACTATCACATACATTCACTATACACATATATACACATAAATTGTACAGAATTCCCACATATCTGTTCAAATGTTGCTCATGTAACTTATCTAAATTTTCTTAACTAACCTTCCTTAAAGCTAGATAATTCATTTCTACGTCCTTTACATTCTCCAAAATGTAAGTCTATGCCTGTAGTGGACACTTAATTGCTTCCAATATACTACAGGAAGTGCCCTTCACATGTCTAGCAAAGGGTAAGATTTTAGCTCAAGATTCCTTAACTCTACTGTAAAGATCACTTAATGAAATATTGTTGATAAATATAATCCCCAAATGGCAACTCTGGAGACTAGCTGGTTTCCACACACTCATTGCTCATCTAGTCTTCAAGTGTATCTACTCACCGAGACTGGTCCAAGAAGTAGGGGTGGAGAAGTGCTCTGGTACTTGTGGCAGGCCAGTGGGTCAAGGCCCTTCTATCTTCCTATCTCCTAAGACTCCAGGAAGCCAAGCTTGGTATTGGTTGGATTCCTATCCCAGAGACTTCACTCCCTCAGGAAATGGGGCTAAGCAAACATGCCTAAGGGAGCACTTCTCGGATACTCACCACAGGCTGGTAGGAAGGGTACACGTCCCCCACCCAGAACATGAATGTCATGAAAGCCAGGAAACCGAAGAGGTGCATACACATGACATTCCAAGAAACAGGTGTGGGGGATGTATCCACACGGTTCCTGGTGTACATGTCTATGTGCCAGTGCATCTGAGACAGAAAGACAAATAGCTGTCACATACTACTCTTCCTGCAAAATGCAGGCAAGTCCCCAGTGATCAGAGCCTGATACAAGGTTAGACAGAAGCATTCTACTACCCTGGGGCAACATGCTGAGAACCAGGTCTGAGGCACACTGCCCTACAGGATTGGATGCTGGCCTCTGTCTAGGTTCTTCTAGGTTCTGCTGAATAGGGACAGCTCAATCATGGAAGCGCACAACTTTCACAGTACAGAGTTTCATGATTCCCAGATGTCCCATTCAGTGTGCCACATGCAACCTCAGATCTCACATCACTGAACCTTGCTTCCTTGAGCAGAAAAGCTTAGTGTTACTTGGTCAAAGAAGTGCCATCTGAGCTAAAGAATCTCCAAGAAGACAAAGGGAGAAGGAAGGTCAAATGAGATATGGTTCTCTCACCGGTTCACCCCAGTTCAATCTCAGGTCCGGTTGGTCCCAGCTATACCATGGATCCCTCTCATGCTGTGAACGGTCAGGGAGCTTCGGGTAGTCGCCACACCTGAGAGACAGCAGGAACTTCTGGAAGGGGCTGTGAGCAGCCTCAGACAATTCAGAGTCTCCTCATCTTATAGATGAGAAACCAAGTGACAGAGATAACTGCCTCACCTAAGGACAAAGGAACTAAATCTCAAGACAAGAGCTCGAGTTCTAGTCACTAAGCACAGAACTAACCATAGAAGTCCAAATTGTATTTAAAAGTTCATGGCAAGCTCTGAAATATTTTAATGTATATAAGCTTTCCCAGGGCCAGGTGTGGTGGCTCATGCCTGTAATCCCAGCACTTTGGGAGGCCGAAGTGGGCAGATCACCTAAGGTCAGGAATTCAAGACCAGACTGGTCAACATGGCGAAACTTCATCTTTACTAAAAATACAAAAATTAGCTGGGTGTGGTGGCAGATGCCCATAATCTCAGCTACTCAGGAGGCTGAGGCAGGAGAATCACTTGAACCCGAGAGGTTGAGGTTGCAGTGAGCCGAGATCGCGCCATTGCACTCCAGCCTAGGCAATAAGAGTGAAACTGTCTCAAAAAAACAAAACAAAACAAAAAACCAGCTTCCCCAAACTTCTTTCAATAAAAAGAAAAAAAGTCACACAATCATGTAATATTATAGATGAAAGGGAATTTAGCAATCAATTACAGTCACCTGCCACATAACACTTCGGTCAACGACGGACCACATATACAAAGGGGGTCCCGTAAGTTTATAATAAAGCTGCCCTATAAATGTGTACCATTTTTTTTTTTTTTTTTTTTTTGAGACCGCGAGTCTTGCTCTGCGTCACCCAGAATGGAGTGCAATGCCTCGGATCCGGCTCAACTGTCACAGCCTCTCCTCTCGGGTTCACCACCATTCTCCTGCCTCAGCTCCCAACGTAGCTGGGACACACGGCACCGGCGCGGCCACCTTCGCCCGGGCTAGTCTCTTTTGTTTTTTTAAGTAGACCCGGGGCGTCACCGTCATACGGCCAGGATGGTCTCGATTCTCCTGACCTCACTGATCCGCACGTCTCGGCCTCCCCAAATGCTGGGATTACAGGCTTGAGTCCCACCCGCGCCGGCCAACTACTGGTGTACCATCTTTGTTTATCCTTCTTTTTCTTTTTGAGATGGAGTCTTGCTCTTTGTCGCCGCCCGGAGTGCACTGGCACCAATTCTCAGCTCGCTGCATGACCTCCACCTACCGAGGTTCAGCAATTTCTCCCTGGCCTCAGCCTTCCCAATGTAGCTGGGATTACAGGCCCCCACCCTAGCCCGGCTAATTTTTGTATGTTTTAGTAAAAAGACAGGGGTTTCGCCCATTGTTGGCCAGGGCTGGTCCTTGATCTTCCTGATCCTCCGGTAGCTCCGCCTTCTGCCTTGGCTCCCAAAGTGCTGGGATTTCAGGGTGTCACTATGCCACAGTGCCCGGCCCCATTTTTATCTCAAGCCTTTTATACCGCTATTTTTATGTCGCTTTCTATTTACGATACACAATACCCATTGTGTTTACAACTCGCCACAGTACTTTATGCGTACCAAAAACCATGCTGTTACAGGTTCTCGCGGCCTCAGAACAATCAGCGCCATACATCACCAGCTGTGGTGTGCCGGCACTACCATCTACCGGTTCTCTGCGTAAGTACATATTCTGATGCTTCCTACAATACCGACGCATCCCCTACACACACCACTTCTCTCAGAATCGCTATCCCTGTTGCAAAATGACTCTACCTCGTACCGATTTCTCATTAGACCACGAAAAAGGAAAATTAAAGTTTTAGAGTCTGAATCCCAAGTCACCCAGCTCAATTGGAATCAAAAACAAACAAGAAGGTACGAACATTCACGCACAACACCCTCTCTTCTCCAACTCAACTCCGTGTTCTGAACACCCACACGCCTGCGGCCGTCTCCTCAATCGCGCTCTCCACTCACATCGCACTCTCTCGCTCACACCCTGGCGTTTTCCCCAACAAATCCAGGTTCCTCTCGACTTCGCTTCACAACACGAACTGCTCTTGTCCACAACATCACACACACACCCACACCCACCAACAGCCGAAATGATGACAACTAGGGTCATATGGCTACGAAAATTGAGTGTATTAGTAAGAAGAATAGACAGTTGCTGAAACCAAAGATTGAAAGAGTGCGAATGTTAGGACAGGAATAAAGGTGATGATAATCACTCCTCAGATAATGTAACCACTGGATTGTTATGTGGGTACACGTACGGCAAGAGTGTGGAAGGGATAGGATAAAATCCAACTGGAGTAAGTAAGGCGGCTGGTTCGTTTTAAATCTGCTTAATAGTTGCTAACGACTTTCCACAGCACTAACAGTAAACAAAAATTTTTTTTTTTTTTTTAAAGAACTCCACATAACATATAGACTCCCTTTATACAAATCAAGGTTCTCCTGATAGGACCTCCAGCTCAGGCCTGGTCACATCCTGGATGACCGCCCCCTGAGCCCACGGGATTCTCAATCTAACAGAACTCACGCTCTCGCATACGACCAAGCGACAGGCTCTCTGCCACTTCCCGCGGTCCCTCGCACGCGCGACGCTACTCACAACCTCGGCTCTCCTCATTCCTTACACCCGCGCACCCCTCGAGCAAGCAGCACACAATGAAGCCTCTCAGCTCGCAGCGCCTCACCCACTCCTCATCTCACCTCACACGCACGAAACAGCACCTCATCTCTCCACCGCGCCGAGACCGCCTCCGCACACACGCGTCACACGTCCACACAACCCACCCCGCTTCCTCACTCACTCCACTGGGTGGCCGAGCAGACCCTCTCCCTGTCTCACCCCATGGCCCGTCATCGTCCGGCGTAATGCTCGTACAGTCTTCCACCCCATATTATACTTCCTAGGCGCGGCGGCCGTTCTTCTGGGGTCCTAGGATACTGGGCTCCTGGGTAACTGTTCCTTGGTCATCGCGCGGGGGCTAAAGCGCAGAACAGAAACAGCGTCA